GAACGGGCCTCCAACGTCCACGACGAGCAGAGACCTGTTCAGCGTCTGGTAATGGACGCATTGCAAACGTGTGTGCGCCGCATGGTTCACATCCAAGTTCTTTGCCAGAATGCAACGTCGTCTTGGAACATGAGTACCTGCGCATGCTTACCAACACGTCATCTGGTGATAAATACCCATATAGATGGTATTCGTAACAGTAGATGTTAATTTTAAGAAACAGAGCCTAGCAACGCCCAAACGCTACCACTCTGCGGACTCTACCTCGGGCTTGATGAGCTTCATCACCAGCTTCTGCTGCTGCACGTTTCTGGACTCCACCGACAGCTGAACGATGACCTTGTCAAACGTCTTCAGGGTCACACCTCCCGCCGCCTGGGAGGGCACCTGCATAACGCCCAGACCATTCATTCAGGCTATCTTCGACCTCACACAAGATGGGTGGACGCAAAAGTGCTCCACTAACAAAGGAGGGCGATTTCCGCCCGTAGTGACACTGTGGCCTGTTACGACCACCATCTATTGATACCTTATTTGTTTGAGAAACTACCAGCAAAAATACTGCGGTAACAAACGAGGCAACATTGTAAAATACGTCAGCGCGATATACAAAACTATCCTATCGAAAACGTGACGAAGTACAACGGAGAACAGAGCCATTTAACACGCTCACCATTTAGCTGCTCTGCCACCCTACTCCACACCGCTGCTGCTCGGGCCCATTTCCCGTAGGCGGTGGCGACAAAGGAGCGCGCGTCACACCTCCCATATCGCATGCCCACCTTATCGTCGTAGACGAACTGCACGCGTGCGTTCTCGCGCTCAGATCCGGGCAGCAAGATGGTGCTCTCCAGACCATACTTGGGCACCAGCACAGACACAGCGTTTTGCTTCACCAGCAGCACGTAGCCCTCCTCCTCGCGCACGCGCTCCTTGAAGAACAGCTGTGGACGGGCGGCGAACGTCGGTGTCGGTGGCGAGGGGCGGGGCGCGACCGCTGAGGCAGCAGCGCCGCCGCTGGCTCTCGCCCAGCAGCCGTCAGCTCGTCCGGACACTCCGCTCCGCTCCCGACCAGCCCCACGCCTGCAGGCCGACAGCCGTCGCATACCCAGTGCGCGGCGCCGGTCCGCGACGAGGCAACAGCGGCTGATACGATCCCCGCGCCGAGGCGGCCACCCACGGCCTCGCTGGCTATTGGTGCCCGTCCGACACCGGCCTGGTCGAGGTGCCTACAAACAGGCAATGCACCCAAAACCGACCACACAGACGAGTCGTAGAGACAAACAACACGGCGCACGAACGCCGAACGCCGAACGAATATCCAAAGGATGGTCGCTGAGCAAGCCAAGTGGTGGTCTGAACAGGGACGGCCCGGGCAGGCACGCCGACAGCGGCGCGACCGTCCCAGCGCCCGAGCATACCGAGCTGCCGGCGCAGCGCAGCGCGGCCGGGGTCACTCACGTGAGTGTGCAGCCCCACAGAGGCGCGCTGCGAGTACTGGGCCATCCGGTGCCGGTAGTTGATGTGGTTGCAGGTGCTCTGGGTGCGTCGCTTGTCCAGCAGCTCCTTGTAGGTGGAGTCCTGGCCGGTGACCACGGCCAGCAGCCGGTGCACTATGATGTCGGCGTACCTGCAGCCGGACGACGAGGGTCAGCGCGCGGACGCCGGGGTCAGGTCATCTGCAGGTCACAGCGCGATCCCACAGAGAAGACACGACGGGGCCTGGTGCCGACACGACCGGACGAGTCGACCCAGTCACGTTAATGAGATGCATCCAGGCCACAGCGGAAACCCCGAAATGGGTTTCCAGTGGGGGTCCCACTATGATCTAACGGCTTCGAGAGGTGAGCAGGTCACAGTACGGTCAGAGAGGTGAGCAGGTCACAACATGGTCAGGGAGGTGAGCCGGTCACAGCATGATCAGGGAGGTACGCCAGTCACAGTACGGTCAGGGAGGTAAGCCGGCCACAGCATGGTCAGGGAAGTGAGCTGGCCACAGCATGGTCAGGGAGGTAAGCCGGTCACAGCATGGTCAGGGAGGCGAGCTGGCCACAGCATGGTCAGGGAGGTAAGCTAATCACAGCATGGTCAGGGAGGTGAGCCGGTCAGTAGTAGCAATTTTGCACGTTTTAAGGGCGCATTGACTGCGTCGATCATTCAACGCCTGCAACTTTGTTTGATCTTAACTTCAACGCCTTTGTGGACAGCGCGCTATGCACGAGTCATCAAGCCTGAATTAGGCGTATCAGAACTTGTTAAACACCGTCACGGATTATTAGACATGTAAGTGCATTATTTTGAAATCAAGACGCTTCACAAAATCTAAAACAGTGCTCTCATCATAGACCGGTTCCTCCCAATGCAGTAGCGCAGGACAGTCCTCGCCGTGCGTAAGAGCCAAGTGAGCGGGTCGGCGTCGTGCCGTGTCGGGTGATGAGCCCGTCCCGCGCCGCCGTCAGCAGCCGGCCGTACCGTCGGATGGGCGAAGTGAAGTGGGTGTAGATGGGCGCCGCCAGGCCGTAGTGCTGGAACTGATCGCGGCTGATGGTGCCTGTACAGAAGTACACGGCCTGCATCATGCAGCGGGTGGCCATGATACGCAGCATCGTGTTGAAGTACGGGTTGTCGGGCCGCACCGCCAGGTTCAGCGACTCCTGCAGCGCCTTGTTTGAGTCCACGTTAAGCTTGAAGCCCTAGCGAGGCGAGATGGATGTTACGCTGGGGTTGTTTGAAGCACGAGAACACGCTCAGACCCACAGAATGTGAGCAAACCGTGCGCTCTGGCTGCGCAAAGAAAAATGTCCTTACCGAAAGGGACGATGGTGAGAAGGCAGGACTGTGCACATTGCCATCAATACATAAAGCTGACAGCTAACGGTGCATGAGTAGTCTGTGGCGGTTTATTAGGGTACAGGCACAGCTGGAGCTGCCAAGCACCAGTCATTGGTGACCGGCCAGCTGGCTCCCTTTGAATGTGAACAACTCTTCACTCACCTACAACCAGGTGCGCACACAGTCACAATCGCACATCCAAACACGCTCTGGATTTCCATCGCTTTGATGTGAATCAGTCAAGGCAGTGCAATGCAACTTCTGAATTTCCCAGTTTTCCTGGATTTCTCGGTTTTGCCATCCCATCAATCACCAATAGTATTCCGATCGTAATGTCACACACATACGCAAACGCTCATACACACTCACACCCATACATATGCTTAAGCATGCACACAAACAGATGCCAGCAAGAACAGATACACGCATACACGTCCAGAGCAGACAGCACCAGGACACACGAGTCCGCCCCGTCGGCACCGCGCGTGTGCGGCGGTCGTCGGTGTCGCCAGCCCACCTGCAGCTCCGCCGCCTTCACCAGCGGCTGGAAGTTGTTGGGCGGTGGCTGCGGGTGGCGCCGCAGCAGCGCACACTCGGGGAACTCCTCCAGGATCTTCTCCGCCACCGACACGTTGGCCAGCAGCATGAACTCCTCCACCATGGAGTTGGTCTCCAGCAGCTGTTTGGCTTGTACGTCGATCGGGTCGTGCGTCTCTGAGTCGATGTGGAAGCGGATCTCCGGCGAGGCGAGCAGCAGGGCCCTGCCACGGCGGCGAGCGGTTACCGGGGCAGGACTCTGCCGCGGGGTTATCGGGGCAGGGCTCTGTCGCGGCGGAGAGCGGTCACTGAGGCAGGGCTCTGTCGCGGCGGCGGGCGGTTACTGGGGCAGGACTCTGCCGCGACGGCGAGCGGTTACCGGGGCAGGGCTCTGCCGCCGCGGCGAGCGACTACTGGGGCAGAGCTCTGCCGCAACGGCGAGCGATTACCGGGGCAGGGCTCTGTCGCGGCGGAGAGCGGTTACTGAGGCAGGGCTCTGTCGCGGCGGCGGGCGGTTACTGGGGCAGGGCTCTGTCGCGGCGGCGGGCGGTTACTGGGGCAGGGCTCTGCCGCCGCGGTGAGCGGTTACCGGGGCAGGACTCTGCCGCCGCGGCGAGCGGCTACTGGGGCAGAGCCCTGTCGCGGCGGCGAGCGGTTACCGGGGCACGGCTCTGTCGCGGCGGTGAATGGTTACTGGGGCAGGGCCCTGCCGCGGCGGCGGGCGGTTACTGGGGCAGGGCTCTGTCGCGGCGGAGAGCGGTTACCGGGGCACGGCTCTGTCGCGCGGCGGAGAGCGGTTACTGGGGCAGGGCTCTGCCGCGGCGACGAGCGGCTACCGGGGCACGGCTCTGTCGCGGCGATGAATGGTTACCGGGGCAGGGCCCTGCCGCGGCGGCGAGCGGTTACCGGGGCAGGACTCTGCCGCCGCGGCGAGCGGCTACTAGGGCAGAGTCCTGCCGCAGCGGCGGGCGATTACCGGGGCAGGGCTCTGTCGCGGCGGAGAGCGGTCACTGAGGCAGGGCTCTGTCGCGGCGGCGAGCGGTTACTGGGGCAGGACTCTGCCGCGACGGCGAGCGGTTACCGGGGCAGGGCTCTGCCGCCGCGGCGAGCGACTACTGGGGCAGAGCCCTGCCGCAACGGCGAGCGATTACCGGGGCAGGGCTCTGTCGCGGCGGAGAGCGGTTACTGAGGCAGGGCTCTGTCGCGGCGGCGGGCGGTTACTGGGGCAGGGCTCTGCCGCCGCGGTGAGCGGTTACCGGGGCAGGACTCTGCCGCCGCGGCGAGCGGCTACTGGGGCAGAGCCCTGTCGCGGCGGCGAGCGGTTACCGGGGCACGGCTCTGTCGCGGCGGTGAATGGTTACTGGGGCAGGGCCCTGCCGCGGCGGCGGGCGGTTACTGGGGCAGGGCTCTGTCGCGGCGGAGAGCGGTTACCGGGGCACGGCTCTGTCGCGGCGGAGAGCGGTTACTGGGGCAGGGCTCTGCCGCGGCGACGAGCGGCTACCGGGGCACGGCTCTGTCGCGGCGATGAATGGTTACCGGGGCAGGGCCCTGCCGCGGCGGCGAGCGGTTACCGGGGCAGGACTCTGCCGCCGCGGCGAGCGGCTACTAGGGCAGAGTCCTGCCGCAGCGGCGGGCGATTACCGGGGCAGGGCTCTGTCGCGGCGGAGAGCGGTCACTGAGGCAGGGCTCTGTCGCGGCGGCGGGCGGTTACTGGGGCAGGACTCTGCCGCGACGGCGAGCGGTTACCGGGGCAGGGCTCTGCCGCCGCGGCTGAGCGACTACTGGGCAGAGCTCTGCCGCAACGGCGAGCGATTACCGGGGCAGGGCTCTGTCGCGGGAGCGGAGAGCGGTTACTGAGGCAGGGCTCTGTTCGCGGCGGCGGGCGGGTTTACTGGGCAGGGCTCTGTCGCAGGCAGGCGGGCGGTTACTGGGGCAAGGGCTCTGCCGCCGCGGTGAGCGGTTACCGGGGCAGGACTCTTGCCGCCGACGGCGAGCGGCTACTGGGGCAAGCCAGAGCCCTGGTCGCGGCGGGCGCGCCGGTTTTACCGGGCCACGGCTCTGTCGCGGCTTGGTGAATGGCTTACTGGGCAGGGCCCTGCCGCGGCGGCGGCGGGTTACTGGGGCAGGGCTCTGTTCGCGGCGGAGAGCGGTTACCGGGGCACGGCCTCTGTCGCGGCGGAGAGCGGTTACTGGGGCAGGGCTCTGCCGCGGCGACGAGCGGCTACCGGGGCACGGCTCTCTGTCGCGGCGATGAATGGTTACCGGGGCAGGGCCCTGCGCGGCGGCGCGGTTACCGGGGCAGGGCTCTGCGCCGCGGCGAGCGGCTACTAGGGCAGAGTCGCCGCAGCGGCGGCGATTACCGGGGCAGGGCTCTGTCGCGCGGAGAGCGGCATACTGGGGCAGGGTCTCTGCCGCGGCGGCGAGCAGTTACCGGGGCAGGACTCTGCCGCCGCGGCGAGCGGCTACTGGGGCAGAGCCCTGCCGCCGCGGCGAGCGGCTACTGGGGCAGAGCCCTGCCACAGCGGCGAGCGATTACCGGGGCAGGGCTCTGCCGCGGCGGCGAGCGGTTACCAGGGTAGGCGCCCGCCCTCACCGTTCATCACATCCAGGTCCGCAGACACTGGTCAGGAGTTTTCAAAGCAAGCTACAAATAACAAGGTTCGGGTTAGGCGCGAAGAACACGCCAGTAGCTTGAAGGCGTTTTAATATGATCTACGGCCATCTCTCATTGCCATTTGAACTGAACGTGTGCGCGCTGTAGTCCTGACCACTGGCGGCATGCAGTGCACAGCTCGCCTGCCAACTAACACCTACCCGTTCTCCAGCCGGCGCCGCTTCAGCACTTTGGCGAGCGAGTTCAGACCGCGCAGCGACTGGGAGACGGCGTCCTGCTGGCTGGCGTCGTCAATCTTCAGCTGCGCCTCACCGTACGTCAGCGCCGCCCGCGACCTGCCAGCACGACATCATCAGCGGGGCAGCAATGGCTGACCTGCCAGCACGACACCATCAGCACGGCAGCAATGACAGACCTGCCGGCACGACAACGTCAGCAGGACAGCAATGACTGAGACCTGACAGCAAGAGAGGATCAGCGGACCAGCAGAAGCTGGCACCTACCGGCAGGAGAGGATCAGCAGGGCCAGCAGAAGCTGTCACGTACCGACAGGAGAGGATCAGCAGGGCCAGAAGAAGCTGGCCCCTAATGGCAGGGCAGTGTCAGAGGGGGGCAGTCAGTTGGTGGTCAGGATCAGGACCTGAAACTTGCCAGTGGGCCGGCTCAGTGGAGCAGGGCTTACGTCAGCCCACCGGGACGCCGACATCGCCACGCCCAGGTTTAACTATACTTTTGCTGGCATGGCCTGGTGCAATGCTGCAAATGGTACCGATGGTGTAATGGTTAACGCATCTGCGTTAACCATTGCGCGTCTGGGAAACAAGAGGTGCAGGGCTTGGCTAACGCGGTGTCCGTCATTCCTGCCAGAGGAGAGAGACAAGCGACACCATATAGCCTCAGCAGCTAAGTGCGTCGTAAAACCCCAACGACATTGGCGCCACAATGCTGTTAAGCTTTGTACTGCAAACTGCAAGCGTTTTGTGAAACGGGACGTTACCTATCTCAAATCTTCATTTGCGTTCATGTGCAGTTTCGCGTCTGAAAATCAGCAGGATACAGGATACACCTAACCTTTTAGCATAATATTATTACGTATGTGTAGGGCGACGGACCAGCAGCACCAGGGGTTCTGTCAGCGACGACCCACCTGATGATGGACTTGTGGAACTTGGTGTGAACGATCTCGGCATCGGGCGTCACCTCCCAGATGCAGGAGAAGGCGAACCGCTCCTCGCCGCCCCGCAGCGAGCACAGGTTCGAGCTGAGCAAGTCTGAAACGCGGCGCCGGCTCGTCAGGCGGCCCGACCTGCGGACAGCCGACCTCGCCTGCAGCCTCGGACGGCCAAAGCACGCCTGCCCCCCCCCCCCCCCCCCCCCCGCCCGATGTTTCTGCGGTCCCGCTCAAGCGGCCAGTGACTTGTCAAAGGAAAACAGAAACTGTCCTAAACTCTTGGCAGTGATGCTACCATCGGCACCACTGCCACCTACATCAGAAATGCACCCGATAATCATACTACTTTCATTACCAAACCGGGCGCCTAACAGTACTGCGTACCATACTGCGTTCTGTCCTGACCCAACTGTCTACACAACAGGCAGTGCAACCAGTAGTTGAATGGCTCTTCCGTCCAAATAATCCCATTGGTCGAGCGCAGGACAATCGCTCGTTGGCAGCCCACTGATGGGGTGCTGTAGGGCATACCTGGCACCATGTCTATCCGTTTGTCGATGAGGTAGACCGTGGTGCCCCTGTTGGCCGCCTCCTTGTCGATCGCCGTGCCGGGCCGGATAAAGTGCGAAACGTCCGCGATGTGCACACCCACCTGGAGGAGGTGCGCAGACCGGCTGGTCATCACGTGCACACCGAGGAAGTGAGCGTCAGTGGAACCAGCTCGTCACACTCGGGCGCTGGTAACAACAGCTGGCACAGCTGTTCACGGGGTGAAAACTCTACCAACCATTCATTTTTGCTTTTTAATAGTGCTTTTCAGTTCAGGCCATGTAAGCCCGCAAACGGAAATGTTTATCACATAGTGGGAAAGGATGTTTACAACGCTATTTCACAAACATCTCCGCGTCAATGAAAAATGGCCCAAGCGTTTGTCAGACGCATACGACCACAGAAGGCCGCGTAGTATTCAGAACTGCCATTGAAACAAGCAATCATGCACGTTCAGAACTTCGCACAGAAGCGAGGAGACACGGGCGGTGATAGACCTGCTGGCAGAGCCGACATGTGCATTGTTTTCAACTGACACGCTACGCGTCACGCATCGGCCAGAGCTAAAGCTAACCTCGAAGTTTCCACTCTCCAGACGTTTGCAGTGCAGAGCGTCATCAATGTCAGTACAGCCGGGCGGGTCCACCTGACGACGGCAGCGTCCTACGTCACGGCGATAGCCATATTGAGGGCAATGACCCACGTAACCCGCCTTGTGGCAGCTCCTGACCACCGCATGTCCCATCCGAACCACCCCATGGGTGGCCCATCGCATTGGCATACATCGCGCAACACGTACGTCAGAAAAGCATAGAGCACTATTATGACAGAGGTGGGCTGTCGAACTACTTGTTTGGGATAAAACAAAAGCACAAGGAAATCGTCGAACACATCGTCATTAATATTATGCAAGAAAAACACAACCAACAACGGAAAACGGGTCGATCCTAGCCACAAGTCTGATATTTCGTCGCCCCGCCGCGAACAGCGTGACTGACTGCCACGCTTAACGAGAATAGATTGGGATGCCTCGTGAAACATCACAAAACCACAGCGAGAAGATGGGTTGAACAAACACACAAAGGCGCCGCGCGTGAAAACGTGTACATACCGAACAGACATCGACGTGGCGTAAGTCCACCCGGTTCGCGACGTCCTGAAACGAAACAGACACGCAGTCACGAGTACCATCGCATCACCGCTTACGTGACACCGTAGACACCGTCGACACAACGCACAGAAGGTGTCGAGTGTCCAGATCAAAACCGCGGCCAGACGGTTCATCAGGCCGCCGCGAGCACACATGAACCTGTCGGGTGGTCGTCGGCGGCGCTGGCGGCGGCCAGTCCCCCCATAGGGCACGTGGCGTGGAAGCCGGTCAGCTGCCTCACGCCACGCTTCGGCGCGCGCACGCACCGGAGGGCCACGGAATGACGAGCACTCGAGATGGCCGCCGGGGCAGATCCGTTACCAGCTGGAGGTGGTCCACCGCTAGCTGACAGCGTGATGTCTCACTAACGCTCATGGATTCGATGTTGTTTTTTAAGAGGATTATACAATACATGGCGTGATCTGCAGGCCCATGCTGGGTGCTGCCTAGGCCATTCCCTCCTGGGAGCACTTCCGTGTGCAGCAGTAACGATGTATGTACACCGATGGCAGTGTCCGCGGACCACAGTACGTCAAGAAACGAAATCCTCCGTAACATGCTTCAATGTCGTGAACAGCTTAGTTTGAAAAGCGTCCTGGTCTCCACGATGGGAGAGGGGTCGTACGTAATCAGCGTGCCCGACCGCCGAATATCAAAAGAAGAAAGCAACAAACTTAACGTGCTTTTAGAGTCTTCATACATTAGAAAATTTGTGCACAGACGAAATCTCCGTTACGGGAAATGGAAATGCAGAGACAATCTGTGGAACTCTGCACAAGTAAGACCACAATGTCATCGCGACCTTCTCCGTGGCTTTGCCTAACTACACCGTGCTCTTCACTTTTCTAATAAGTTATCAAAATAAAAAACAACCACCTTAAAAGAGGAAGCGGAGAAAAGTTGTCACGTGCCAAACAGGATTCCGTACATCAATTTTACTTATTTTCACCGATTATTGATCAATGCAGGTGATTTAAAGCACTAAACAAATTAAGCGTAAACGTTTTGAGACCAAACGTTACGTAAAGGAGCTTATTGTTAGCTACGTCCTGACCTTCCCAAGGATCAGCCCAGCACTCAAAACAGCTGATCACTAAGGGTCGGCGTGTGGACGGCCATCCCAGAGTCTGACACCGCCGCAGCAGCCGGATGTCTGGCGGTAACCGGTCTAGCTCGGCCAGTTGGTGGGACCGGGTGTTCAGGCGACGCGGCCCGGCCCCTGCGGAGACCAGGTCGACGCGGCAGACGCGACAGCCGCGGCGCGCCGGCGCCGCGCCCGCCGTCCGCCAGCGGCCGCTGCAGAGCGCGCAGAGTCCGGCCACGCCCAGCCGTCGGCCGGTGGTGGAGCAGCACACGTCCGAGGATGACCAGCCTGGGGCACACTCGGTGGCGGCGGAGGCGACCGTGCCGGGACACGGGGGTCCGATTCTGATCCCGACTCTGGTGGTGAGTGGATGCGAGCCGGCAGGCGTCGAGGAGGCGAACGAGGAGGAATCGGACGGAGAGGTGGCCGCGGTGACGGCGGTCAGCAGTGACCACGACGGGTTTGAGAGGGCCAACAAGGTGATCTTGCGCACGGACTCGGTTACAGAAGCGCCGGCGGCAGATAGCCGCAGCGAACAGATTGAGGTTAGTCAAAGCATGGTACAGAATGCCCGCGACGCCATGGACCCGGACAAAATGAGAGCACAAATGAACGAATGTCACAGTGCCCTACACGCCGTGACGGAATTTGCCCTAGAGAAGACAGAGCAAAAGAAAATCAGCGACATAACGGCGGAAGCACAAAGGCTGATGGACTTGTGGAGAAAGGCCTTGGACAATACAGATGTGCTGTCACAAATCATTAAGCAAAGCACGGACGCAGCCAAGTGAGTTCGAGTACAGGCAGTTCCAAACGCGCGAGTCCCCTCCACATAATTTGGTCATATAGTTAGCATGCAGTAATTCGCTGTCTTTTCCAGGGCAAAGCCATGACGTTGCAGCATACTAGGGCCTAGCAGAAGTAACAAAATCGCGTGGGATTATGCGATGGAGTGAGTTAGCTAAACGTCAACTAAAAAATATATTGGCTTCATTTTGGGCGCACTGCTTCGATCAGTGCGCCGAGGATTGTGAAAATGTACCACTCCCAGCAGAGTCGACGCTCACTGCGCCTCTGTTTCAAAGACGTGCCCCCTTTCGACAGTCAGTCGTCTAGCCGGTTGTCCGAGGAAGTCCAGGAGCTGGAGCACTTGTACGGAGAGCTGGCCGAAGCTCTGGCCAATCTCCGCAGAACCACCGACAACCACAAGGCCGTGAAGAAAGACATCAAGACTATGAAAAAAGTGGTCAGCAACGCATACACGAAAGGTAATATACTGTGAAATTAACTACGGAGGGGGGGGGGGCAATTAATAACGCCTTAATATTTAATCGATACAAATAATATCTAATTGATAATTAATACTGTCTCTCTGCACAACTGATCGGCGTCGTGTTGACTAAGCATTTGCCAGTAGAATTTAGCCCGTTAATTTAAAGATTGGAAGGCGTCTATGGATAGAATCGGGATGAAGACAGGAACCTCCGTCAGTGTGGTTTCTCTCTTCAAACCACATCAAAATAGTCACAAGGTGGCCCGAGTGCCGATATCTGACAAAATTGAAAGCCGCTTTTTGCGTGGAGCGCCCTACCAAAACATGGTGTCATCCACAGAACAAGTCGAAGTCGGGAAGGTGGCTGCCCAGTACGAGAAGGAGGCCTATTCCAAATGGCAGTCTCTCAAAGGCACCAATAACGTGTCTGGATTGGAAGACCTGCAGCAGGAGCTGATGGTCAGTTTGCGGCAGCCCACCAATGAAGCTATCAAAACCCGACATGCCACTCCGTAACCCTGTGAACCTGCGCCTATGTTTCGCCCAGATGGACATTGCACGTGACGCTTAAAGCAAATTCAAGGTTTTGCAATTTGCAGCTCACCGTGTATGATGTCACACAAACAGGTGGTTGATAACAAATCGGGATCCCTTTGGTCCATCTGACATCAGAAGCTATCTTTGCTGAAGTCATTCATGTGGCTATTCCTTTTCCAGCACCATTCTGGGGTCAATACCTAACCGAAACATTCGCTTCACATGAATCTTGCCATGTCCCGCTTTGCGTCCCTCTTTTGTTTAACATTTCGGACATCCACAGGTAACTGGACCGATACACATTAGGTCAGCATTATCGACGCCGCACTTCTTCCCGACAGTGCTCCAAGGTTGTGAATGTTCACTCAAAGTGGTGTCATGGACTCCACTGACAGCTTCGGACAAACTGACAATTGACGCCAATCAATTGGTTCATAACGAAGAAGTTTTGGTTCCCGCAGATCCAGTTTATTTCGGTGGTATCTAGTCAGCGAATCTCATGCAAAGGCTGCATAGCATAAGCGGTCGCATGACTGTACGCTTGGAACTCCGCTGTGTAAGTCGACAGGACAATTTCACGCTCCTCGCGCTGCTGAGCATCGCAATCAGCCTCGTAAAACACGTCCAGGGGGTGTCATCAGTAAGCTTGAAAGGAGTTGGGCTTCCCACAGAGAACAATTTTGTAGACTTGCATTGGCAGCTTGTTGATGTAGTCAACTGTTGCACCAGCCTCGATGACGCAAGTCGGAAGCAGGTATGTACTAGCATGTGGACGATGAGGGAGGTAAGAAAACACCAATACATGACCAACGCCCAATGGTGATTGTGAAGAAGGCATGCAACTTACACTACACAGCTGAGTGACAATTAGGAGAGTCAACGTTTCTCTTCCACAGCACCCAGTGGACAGCCTGTCATATCTCTGCCATCAAAATAGATCCAGCAGCTGGCTGTACATTTTAAAGTGTAGAGGTTTATGCTGCCACCACATAACGACGGTAGCCAATATTTGCCCTGACCGCAAGATACCACCACGATGTGGGTAAGGATACACACCATGCCTTATCTTTGGGCAGTTTACTCACGAACCATACACGCACCGCGACCAGTCCGAAAGAGACGCTGCGAACGTAGAGTTTTTATCGCAACCCTAGTCGGCTGCTGTGATGCAACACGGCTTCTGTCGCAGTCGGCCCACGCACATTCAGCAGTCTACCGCAGCCCAGCCCGGTGACGCCCCGGGCCGCGCGCTCTCAGGAGAAGCAGCGCGCGCTCTCGGGCCTGGACTCTCTGGTGCGCCGCCGGCTGCAGCAGAGCCAGCAGGGCCCCGGCGAGGCGGACAGCGCCGACCGGCCGGCCGACACACCCAGCCCCAGGAAGGCCGGCAAAGGTCAGTTACGTACGCACACACGCCCAACTTTGGGCTGAAAAAGATGCCTTGGTCAGGCCTGCTGACGCCCATCACCACAGCGTGAAAACCCAAAGGTTTCGCCGGACATGACGGTTATACGCTCTGTTTTCCCTATTCATACCCCATTCCCGTGATCCGAAAAGAGCCCGTCTTCCGGGGAGCGTGCTGCGGCCGTCAGCCGAGCATAGACTCACGGCCGCGCTGGCGGCAGGCCCGGCAGAGCAGCCGCGTGCACCCTCCGGTCGGATCCCCGCGCGGGGTCAGACTCGGTGGCGATGAAACAACTGATCATAATCACGGCATTACCCCATCCCGTACTCCTCTGTAACTCGACAGCTCTGAAATGGCCAGTTATGGTCCAAAGCGCTCAGCTAGTTACACGCCAGCATTAACTTCCATTAGTGAATGGATGACGTAGTTGTTGTCGTCCTTGTCTGGTGTCTTAGTACGCACACAACGTTTCAGCCTGTTCATCCTCCGGCCTTCGTTAGGTGTTATTAAGTCCTGCGTGGGAGTGTACGGTGTTGGGCATATGTGATAAAACAAAATAAAAAATATATGTGATAAAACTCCGGCAACGCGACCCGTTGGCCGCCACCAGCAGCCTCAGCTGGCCGCACCGTGACGCCGCCGCGGTCCGTTCCAGTGAGTCCGCAGCGTACGCCCGTGTCGCCGGGCCGGCGGGCGGGCGCCGGCCGCACCACAGGCAAGCGCAAGCTCACGGACGAGGCGCGCCAGGAGCGCAAGACCATCAACAACACGCGCAATCTTATGATGATCCGCTACCAGGGCGGGCCGGCCGCGACCGGCGGTGTCGCCATGGTGGGCGCGGCGGCGGCGGGCGCGACGGCAGCGGCGGCCGGCCCGGCGGCGGGCGCGGCGGCGGCGGCGGCGTCGGGCGCGGCGGCGACGGGCGTGGCGAGCCAAGCGGGTGTCATGGCCGGCACGTCCACAGTGCCGGTGCCACCGCCACCGCCACCGCCGCCGGGCCCGCCGCTGCCATACACGCTGCGCGCGGCGGCCGAGGACGAGGACAGCGGCAACGCCGCCGACACGGCCGACGAGACGTCCACCAGCAACGACGAGGAGCTGGGCGGGCTGGAGCCGGACGAGCTGGCGCTGGCGGCCGCCTTTCCGCTCCACTTCGGCGCCGCCATCTTCGACGGCCTGGACCCGACCGAGACGGCCGACGCCATGGCAGAAGTGCTGCACTTTCGCTGAGCGGCCGCACAGCGAGTGGCCAGCCCCGAGCGCACAGCGGACGGCACTGATGGACGCGTGGATGGCGGGTTCACGGAGGCGATGTTCCAGAATACACTATTTTGATCCGACAGTGGTTGGTTTGGTCCAGCGGACAATGCGAGCCGGGGCGAGTCTTCAGGTTCCGTGACGAAAACAATAATTAGCCGGATTAAAATGCGTCAACCAGCATCTAGTGTGTGTACTTACCTAATGCTCATGACCCCAGGCAGCTTTTCCAGCCTGGTGCCGGATGTTACCATTGGCTATTTCGAAGTCTTACATGCAGAGTGGTCTCTGATCCCCCGTCCCTGCAACCAGGCCTTCGGTCTTTATATCGTGCCTACAGCAAGAATCCCTGCCTCTCCGTCGAGCCTGCGCAGTAGTTTTCCAGCTGTGGGCCGTACCTGAGGCGTGATCTCCCAGGGCAGCCGGGGAAGGCAGGCCATCACGCCGTCCGAGAAGTGACTGTGCGGCACGTCATGCTCCAGCAGCAGCACCTCGTTCTCAGCAGATTTGGTGCCGATCTTGCCCAGGTCGCGGCAAAAGTGTCCCTGGCCGCACCGAAACATCACGGTCAAGGTCATACGCTGGTTGGCAGGCAGCAGCAACAGTCCTACTGTGCGCATGACACCATCTGTAGCCAGGGAACTTCTGAGACTGAGCCTCCGCCATCATTGTTACTCGATCGTCATTCAACGGCCTTATCAACCGTCCTACAGCCATGCCACTGACCAGGGGGTAGCGCGAGTTCCTGGGCCAGCTGTCTATCGTGACGACCACCCGCTTGCCGGCCAGCTGCTGGCCCCGCGCCGTCTGGATCAGCACGCGGGGCACGCGCCCGTTGGCCGGCACAAACTGGTGGTGGATCTCCTGCAGCAGACAGTCGGTCATGGTGTCACGGTGTTATGGTGTCGCGGTCACAGTGTCACGGTCGCAGTGTCACGGTGCCAAGGCCCTGAACGGATGCTCCGGCGCGAGATCGTCCAGATTTCGTAGGGCACTCAACCGTCAGTACGTGATGGATACGTGAAAGCCACCAGCATATACGGTACAGAGCTGACGCACACGGGGTAACATGGGCGTGTCTGGCTTTCAAACCAGCTGACCCACTATGGCCACTAAAGGAAACGCACAGCACAAGAATCGAACCAGCGACCTTCCATGGAAAGGGGCATCAGTACCGCGCCCTTCGCTGACGCGAGAGCGAGCGCAGGTGTGCTGCCGACCGACCTCTGGGATGGGGTTGAGCTCGACCATGCCGCAGTACTGGCGCCACTTCCTCTTGATGACGCCCACCACACGGCCAGTGGGCTGCGCCGCCGCCTGGCCCAGGCAACACTCCGGAGGGAAGCCCAGCTCGCACGAGAAATCTGACACAGCGGCCCATGCGGTCAGCTCACGCCACACGGGTGTCAGGGTCGAGGGCATGCGCAATGCGGCTTAGATCCAGAGTTCAGCTTACAAGCTGCTATCTATCCTGGGCACGACATTTGATATATCATAGCGGGCAAGCATAAGCCCTGGCTTCCTATGCCGCATACCACAGCGCGTCGCCGGAGTGGTCAGGCAAGAGCAAGGTGAGGCGCAAATGCGTGCACCCGATCAGATGCCGTCGGTTATGGGCCAAGATGACTAGACTCTGGGTGAGACCAGCTGACACGCAACACGGCAGCGACGCACCACGCCACGTCACGCAGGGGCGCACTACAAAACGTGTAAACACGACCAGACATGGGGACACGACCAGACATGGGGACACAGCCCGACCCGGACAGGTGTCGCGGTCAGGGACGGGTCGTCCTGGCCAGACTCGACACAGGTAGGGCCAGACTCGGCACAGGTAGGGCCAGACTCGACGCAGGTAGGGCCAGACTCGACACAGGTACGGCCAGACTCGACACAGGTAGGGCCAGACTCGGCACAGGTAGGGCCAGACTCGGCACAGGTAGGGCCAGACTCGGCACAGGTAGGGCCAGACTCGGCACAGGTAGGGCCAGACTCAACACAGGCAGGGCCAGACTCGGCACAGGTAGGGCCAGACTCGACACAGATAAGCCAGACTCAACACAGGCAGGGCCAGACTCGACGCAAGTAGGGCCAGACTCGGCACAGGTAGGGCCAGACTCGACACAGATAAGCCAGACTCAACACAGGCAGGGCCAGACTTGACGCAGGTATGACCAGACTCGACACAGGCAGGGTCAGACACGACACAAGCAGGGCCAAGCTCGACACAGGCCCGCCAGACTCAACACAGGCAGGGCCAGACTAGACATAGGCAAGGTCAGTCTACACGCTGCCACATGCGGGTGGCCCGGATCAGGACAGCTGGAAGCCACACCCACCATTGTCGAAGCCGACGTCCTCGATGGCCAGGTTGGATGGCACTGACCAGCGCTCGCGCGGGAACAGCTCCACGGCCACGATGTCGTCCTGCACAGCTCGGTTCAGGTTGTAGCGGCCCTGGATCAGTACCTGACGGCGTCGGCGCAGGCTCAGACCGGCGCCGCGCCTCTGGAGAGGGGGAGGGGGAGCGGGGCACCGCCAAGCCGCGAGCACGCTGTTCCAACCAGCCGGGAGAGCGTCACATGACGCGCGATGAACCATCTCAACGGCAATGACGTCGGCTCTCGGTACTGCTGCGTGGTGGGGAAGACATTGTGCCCCATACGCATCGGTGAGGAGTGTCCGATCGTCGAGTCGTGGGCAGTCCCTCTCGAAATCCCCCGGCTGTCAGACCCCACCTCTCCAGCGCACTCACCGGCTGCTCGAGGCCCTCCACCATGACGGTGCCCTCCAGGTAGTTGTCGTCGCGCGCGAAGAACTTGCCCTGCCGGTACGTGCCGCTCTTGATGCCGGCCTGCAGCAGCGCCAGGCCGAGGTGTTCCGGGTAGCAGACGGCGCCGTCGCCGGGCACGCCGAGCTCCAGCGAAGCCAGCTGATCGGCCAGCTCCGGGTGGTCCGGCATGGACCACACGTACGCGGAGACTGGCGGCGGCGTCAGCGCACTGTCACGGGTGTCGCGGCACATCAGGCTGGTCAGGCATGGACCACACGTACGCGGACACTGACGGCGGCGCCGGCGTCAGCGCGCCGTCACGGGCGTCACGGCACATCAGGCTGAAGGCCGTCACGCATCCCTCGACCACGGCACTTTACAGGCCACGGCTCTATGAACCGTGAAAGGGGGGGGGGGACACCCTGGATGGCCACAGTGTAAGGTCTATTGAAGGCCCTTCTCCTCCGCCGCTCTGCTACTCGCTCAGAGCGGAGATCTCCGTCCTAACTGAGGGATGCCCAGCCCCTGGGTGTAGGGGCCATTAGTGACAACATAGACGAGTAGGTGCAGGCATGCAACAAGTAGCTTTAAACATTTGACCCTATGAACACGAAGTGTACTATCATGACACATTAATATAAAGAAAGGAATTGATGCCACTTATTGAAGCAAGTGGGAGCCACCCAACTGTCACCATCGCAGCCCCACCCCGCCCCTGAGCGCCAGCCCCACGGTACCAGCCGCCAGAGCACGCCCACCGCGGCGCTGCTGCACGGAGCGCTCTCCGCCCACGCCGTCCCGCCGGTCACCTCTCATGGAGGGCAAGTCCTCCTTCCTGGCGCGTCGCAGGTTCTCCCGGTCGTCGGTGAGCAGCAGGGTCTTGACGCCGGTCGCGTGCTCGTTGTACCAGAGCGCCGCCCGCCGGATCAGGCGGTCGCTGTAGTCGTTGGACGTCTCGCCGGGCACGCGCTCCACGTACGTGTCCCTGTCGAGCGCGCGACGCTCACCAGAGGTCAGGGGAGGGGTGGGGTGGTGTGGGGGCAGGAGAAGTGGGGGACTGAAGTGAGCCAATGTCAGGAGCCATCACCTCAGGCGGAGCTAAGCGAGGTGAACAAAAGTGACTTCACGGGGGAGATATGGTGAAGAGAGAGATGACAAGTAAGATAAAGCGACGAGGGATACGGTGATGTGGGATGTCGGTAGTGTAGTGGCTATCGCGCCTGCGTTAACCGCTTCCGGGATACCAGAGGCGCGGGGTTTGATCACCCGCTGTGCTCGCCCTTCCTGCCAGCGTGGAAAGGTGACGCCATATAGCCTCAGCAGCTAAATGCTTTGCAGAGCCCCAATGGCAATATGATGCTGATGTGACCGCTGATGTGAGCTCAAGTAGCGAGGTAAGTTAAGGGACATGGTAGGATATGAACCCCTGGAAACGAGGAAAAGGACCTTTAAAAAGTCGCACGCTCATCTTTGACTATGTGTGCTGGCTCTGTCTGCATGGGCATGACTTCAAGGCAGTGAGTAAACCTATTTCGGTCAGCTCTGTGCTGGTCAGATGCGCAACACCGAATATCTTCCCCACCGTGCTGCATGGCAATTTTCTCCCAAGGTGTTGGTTGATTTGTGTAGATGTAATTATTGATTCAGAGCAGCTTTTCGTTTCCTAGCAGTTGCACACATCATTACGCACATCATTCACACCATCATTGCATTATTCATCAGTAGAGCATCATTATACGCCATCAACCATTGAGAGCTCCAGTTGCAAAGCTGGGCTATTCGCAATCCGACACTCACGTCGTCTGACTCAAAGAACAAGTTCGTAGATCCAATCTGCATGAAAGCTACAGCCGTATCTCATGCGCTTATAAAATGGCTCCCTGCTTACCCAGATGTCAGCGTTATTACCCAAATGGAGAAGTACTTAGTGATTTGCTGACAACATACTTGTGGTGTTCATTAATAAACACGTAGCAGTGTTTGTTGGTGGAAGACATGAGGTCAGTCAGCTTCTTGTAGAGCGGAGGACTCCGCTTCCGCGCCTCATCCAGCACTGTCTTCAGCAAGATGACATTCTTGATGGCGTCGCTGGACAGAATCTCCAGCTGGAGACGGGCCAATCATCAGTCAGTTCAGACATTGTCACAAATATGGGATACCTACAAAGAGGTCCCTAAAAGACAGCATCGCTCAGCTGACATACGTTTAACACTGCATATGAGCTGTAATTATGCCTCCGAGCCGCAGTTTTCTAAGATTGTGAAAGGCTACATTCATTTAGCCTGAATATGTTCACAGTACCCAGTGCAGCTCCATGGTCGGCTGGTACCCGATAATACTAAGCAATACGTCCAGCTAGCAATAATGAGACGTTTATTCCACAGACGGCGGCAATTAAAAAAGAACGCACTTTCACACGTGGTAGCTTGCAGGCGTTTGATTGAGCCAGCATCACACCACCGTAACGCCGGGTCAGCTCTGGCCGGCGGCACCGCGGGGCCGACACCACCCGGGTACCGGCGAGGCGCGTGCGGCGCCGGGCACCTCGGCAGCAGCACCTGGTGCAGGATGACGTTCGTGTCTGGCAGCAGCAGGTGCGGCTCTGGCACGGCCGAGCTGACCGAGGGCGCCGCCCGCTCCAGCGGCGCCTCGTGCGCCGGCTGCCGGCAGTCCTCGCAGCCCTGCACGCCGCACCACAGGTCGTCCCGCAGGTAGTGCTCGCGCACAATCTGAGGAGGGACGCGTATTGGCATAGGTCAGGTGCTGTGCCCGGCCACCGTCTGCCTCTGCTCGACCCTGTCACAGTGCTGGAACATGCACCGCTTCTGAACCATTAAAATACAGAAAAACGACTGCTCGACCACATTCGGCGCGTGCTCCCGGCCGAGGTCGGAGCCGCAGCCGGTTCGGAGCAAGCATAAAAACACGGAAGACTTGCTTCAATCAACCCTCCCAACCAGTCATGGTCTTGAGTCAATCGATCAATTCATTGACATGCTGAGAGGCAGTACATAACCAACAGGCAAACTGGTGTTCGTAGCCGTGGAAAGTTTGCTTTCCATTGTGCCGATAGGCGCCATGCCTCAGCATCCTGAGTGTAGCCTCCTTCCGGGGCTCCTTCCCAGAGTGGAGCTCCTTTCCGGAGCTTCCTCGATAACTGATCGACAATTTTTGCATGTGTGAAACAGAAAATAAACCTTCGGTGAAAAAGGAGCTGTTATGAATGCGAATTGTAAACGTGTGGCTGACATTTTTGTTGATGTTATCAATATTGCACATACGCGCAGTCTGATCGAGAGCTTGCAAGCGCCTTAGAAAGAACTCAGGCAAACCATCTCCGTACTTTAGCGCGGTAACCCGTACTTAAGAAAGCTAGTTCCATGCTTAAGCAAGTCAACCCCGTACTTAAACAAGCCAACCCCGTATTTAAGCTAGCTAGATCCGTACTTCAGCAATCCAGCCCCGTACTTAAGCAGGTCAGCCCCTACTTAAGTAAGCCAGCCCTCTACTTAACCAAGTCATCCCCCTACTTAAACAAGTCAGCCCCGTTATTAAGCCAGGCCAGCCTCGCACTTAAGAAATCCCCGTACTTAAGCGGGTTAGCCCGTAATTGAGCAAGCCAGCTCCATACTTGAGCAGGCCAGTCACGTACTTAAATAAATCAGCCCCGTACGTAAGCAAGCCAACACCGAACTTGAGCAAGGCAGCCCCGTAATTAAGGAAGCCAGCCCGTGCTTTAGCAAATCGGCCCGATACGTAAGCAAGGCGGTCTCGTAATTCAGCACGTCAGCTCCATATATAAGCAAGTCAGACACATACTTAGGCAAGCCAGCCCGATAATTAAGCAATCCATTCCCGTACTGAGGCAAGTCGGCCACATATTTCGACAAGCCAACCCCGCACTGAGTCCACCTATGAGCTGAGCGTTGGAAACAAGCTGCCTTTCCTGGATACTGTTGTCAATGATGACCGGGGAACTTGGTGACCCCTGTCCACCGTAAAGGACATGTAACCGGGGACATGGCTGGACGCATTTCAACATGTTGCTCCACAACTTAATGGTCTCTTACAGTACAAAACAAGCGTAACATGTGTCATTTTACAGAAGCTGTGCGCAATCGTCCTTCTTGCAACCAACTAAAAGCAGAGGTTTCTCGACTTACACAATTTTGGAAAGACCGTTTCCCAAGAGGTCGATGACGAAACCAAAGATCGCAAGGTGCAAACGAGGAGAGGCAACCGAAAGATCAAGCAGAAAACATATCCAGCTATTTTGCAGACCACGCACCAAGCCGAAAAAACACCGTGCAATTTTGCACACCGCACACCAAGCCGAAAAAACATCGTGCGATTTTGCAAAATCTGCATCTTGATGTACAATAAATCGTGGCAGAAAAGCAGCATGCATCCACCCGGCAGAAAAATTTCAGCAACAACACACTGCAACTCCAGCAAAGCCAACAACCGTCTGACCAAAAACAACGTCGTGACCGAAAATGACTGAATGTGCTTGAACTTGAACTTGAACTTGAACGAGCTTGAAACGCATGGATACAGTTTATCAGTCACTGCCTGAACGCGTGCAGGGCACTGCACATCCCCGAATCCCCAAGTCCATTGCATGATCTATACGTGACGCCCGCTGAGTCTTCCCATCGTCAAACTCGTACTACTTCGGGCAGCGTCGGCTCTCGCTACATCCACCGCGCGCCCGACCAACCGCCAGCCAGCGGTAGTTTCCGCACCGCTTCGCCGCCGCGTGGAACCGGCAGTCCGCGGCGCCGTCCGCGCCCTCCCTCGCCGTGCGTTCTTGATTGTCTTTTAATCGCGGACTTGTCGACTGAAATCGCTTCTACCTGCGTGTGTGCGTGTATCGCTCTGTGTATTGTGTGTTTCTCTCACACGACTAAACCCATCACTAACACACGTGAATGCCCTTTAAGCAAAAATACAATAAAATACCACGCAGTGCCGGTAGTTTGTCCGTCCCGGTGGCTCAGTTGGTTAGAGCGCCTGCCTTCCGATCCACCCACCCGTGGCAGTGTGGGTTCGAGTCGCTTTAGGGCGCTCGCTATTTGCCCTTGACATGTATGGCCTGCGGCCGGTGGCAGCGGTCGCGCTTAAGGTCAGTTGACGTCAGAGGGCAGGACGGACCGTGCCGAGCATTGCGGTACGTTAAGCTTTCGCCACTAAATTCTGTCGTCGCCTGGAGTTACGCGATCGGATGGTGGGGATCAGGGCTCACACAACAAGCACTGCTCAGCGTGAGCACTGATCCAAGAAATCCATCCATTCAAAGGGTTCGGATCAAATTTATAAAAAAGTGCAGAGGCGCATCCCTGGAAAAATACAACAAAATGCCACCAGACATCACTGACACAAAGACACTTTACAGACGTCATCATTAAATTGCTGTGATGCCATTGTTGCTATTTGGGCTTAAGGGCGCGTCGACAGCCGCGGTCATTTTGTGTCCAAACTATGGCTGTGCAGAACCATGTCTTATATCATATACGGTGGCTGTTGTAGGTTTCCGAAGCGTGCCCAAAAAACACAAGTTGCAATATGACCGGCCGCAGCACGCAGAGTGCAACGCAAGTACGCTCGGGTGCTTTCTGCCAGGGTCATGCGGGGTCGGTAGATGCTGTAAAGGTGATAAATGGTCGTGAAGTCAATGTCGTTAAGAAATGCAAGAACTGCTCTCACGTTGATAGTGCGATTCTCGCCTATGAGTGAGCGCAAGGACGATCTATGTTGCATATGACGACCAAAGTGGCGATAGCGCTCCGTGGCAACGTGCGGGCACTGCACGAGGACGTGAGCTAAGGACAGTGCGTCATTACAGCGAGGACGTGCTATTCTCCCTCAGCCGCGTCACGTGACCACAAAGTCACGTGGTCTGTGATGTCACGCACCGGCTGGCGATGTTGCCAATATTTTATGTCAGCCATTCAGCATGAACAGAAAGCGCTACCAGACCAAAAGTCATGCTGACAAAGAGGCGGGAGTTCCACTTGACAGCTCTTCCGTGTGCGAGTACATTGGGTGGAGTGTGGTGGGGGGGGGGGGGGGGGGGACTTGTCTCTTATTCTCGGGGGAAATGCGATGTAGGATCGATAAAGAGAGAATTGGGCCACCAGGAGCAACCATGAAAAGGTGGAGACAATAATTGGTGTGGTGTGTGGTTGCATTCCCCAGTAAATCAAAACCGTTATAGTAATCGGAAAAAAGATGGAGAACAGGAACGCAACGCCTTGCGTCTCCAACATGGGCTTTGTCAGTACAAATGGGAGTTTACTGAAGGGATGGGCTTCATGCCGGCACAAGTAACTGTGAAGGATCAATGGACCTTTTACACAAAAAGCACTTAGTGAACACTTAAAATGAGAAATGAGGAACTTTAAATGAGGTTGGAATGGGAAGCACTCAACCTACATATGGGAAAGATGGTGGTAATACTGGAGTACGATCCACACTTCCAAACACCACTTTGTATGCAGTGCGTTATGGTCGGCGGTAAGCCGGTGTGTGGTCTGAAGTAGTTAAAAGGTAAAGGGGAAAAGGAAGGTCGTCTGAAGTAGTTAAAAGGTACAGGGGAAAAGGAAGGTTGTCTGAAGCAATTAAAAGGTAAAGAGGAAAAGGAAGGTTAAGTCAAAAACATTTCTGTCAGCCCACACATCCAACGCTCCGTCAGCACGCATGACGGAACGCATTTGACAACTGTGCTGACGACAGATCGAACGGGCCTTCATATTAGTATATGCCAAGAAGGGTTCGGAACTGGGCATGGAAAGACGACGGCACCTACCTTGAGGACATTGCCACGTCTGTTCTTCTTCAGGAATGTCTTGTGCTTCAACATGTTGCTCCACAACTCTTCCCGTAAACCTCACTGCAACGGAAATAATGAGGTACATACTGATTCATCGAAATCGTTCTAATGGGATAACATCACAAAATTAAGGTTACTAACGCGACAGAATGTGAGTGAATGCAAATGTGGTGTGCGCCTGCTTCAGAACGTGTAAGCTAAAATGCCCAGCTAGGGTAGCATCTAAAATATTATGCACGATGTGGCACACGCGCATACCCCGCACCATGGCTGGCATGCGCACTGAATCGCAACAGCTGACGTCCTTGCCCTGGCACATGCTCGGTAGAGCAAAACAATCAGACAAAAACTGTACCGTCCGCTCGCCGGTGGCCCCTCTCATAACCCAGCGTACTCAGGGAAAATACGCCCGATTCATCATTCAGGTGTTTATAAGGCTGGGCGTACTCTTCTATGAGAAAGGGCGGGATGGATGGTTGGAGATTCCATTTGCGCAAGTGCACTCGAGAAAAGCCCCACACCTTTGTGCTGTCAGACAGTGAAAGTTTCAAGACGGTACGCGTACGGATATGTACAGCGCATGCGCAAATGTTCTTTCGGTGCCAAGGAAAAAGACAACATGCCACGCTCGCAACCGTGGCAACTGTTGTTGGCAGCAGAACATCGGAAGTGGAAAACACGGCGTACGGTTGGTGTGCAAACCAGGCCAAGGTCTCCGGAAGGTCATGCGTGAGCGAGTGTTCGTCTCTGCCGGCAAAGCGCAGTTGGCAGCAGGGCTGAGCACTCGCCGCTCTACCTCCTGCGAGTGTGGGCTGTCGGCCGGCGCTCAAACCGGACCCTGAGCTCTCGTCTACACCTGCTTAGAGATGGAGGCCGCGGCGTCGCTCGGGGACCAGATGCGCTCGGCAGCGCTGGACCTGCTGTACATCCGCAACGTGACGGCCACGTGTCGACAGCACGTGCATCAGGTGCCCGACTACACGCGCCAGGCGGTGCCAGCCTTCCTGCTGCTGGCGCTGCTCGAGTTCGTGCTCCTGCAGACGCGACACAGGGGACGCGCCGCGTTCGCTGACCACACGGTGTCGCTGGCCAGCGGGATGGTGCACCTGGTGGTGTCGGCCGGCTGCGGCTTCCTGCCAGTGTGGGCGTACGCGACCATCTGGCAGCGCTGGCGACTGTTCGAGCTACCCTGGGACTCGGTCGGCGTCTGGTGGCTGACGCTCGTCGGCGTCGACTTCTGCTTCTACTGGCAGCACCGCGCCCTGCACGAGGTCAACTGCTTGTGGGCCATGCACCAGGCGCACCACAGCTCCGAGTACTTCAACCTGTCGGCGGCGCAGCGGCAGCCAGTGCTGCAGACGTTCGTCACGGGCGTGTTCTACCTGCCGCTGGCGGTCCTCGGCGTTCCGCCGGCCATGTGGCTGTCGCACCGTGCCTTCAACTTCATCTACCAGTTCTGGATCCACACGGAGCTGGTAGGCTCGCTGGGTCCGCTGGAGCTCGTCTTCAACACGGCCTCGCACCACCGCGTCCACCACGCCTCCAACCCGCGCTATCTGGACCGCAACTACGGTGGCTTCCTCATCGTTTGGGACCGGCTGTTCGGCACCTTTTGTGCCGAGGCCGAGCCACCCACCTACGGGCTCGTGCACAACGTCGACTCCTTCGACCTCTGGACGGTGCAGCTGGGCGCGTTCGCGCGCGTGGCGGCGGCGGCGCGGCGCGAGGTGGACTGGGCGGACGCGGCGCGCCGCATGCTGTGCGGTCCCGGCTGGCAACCGGGTGGACCGCGGCTCGGCGACCCGGCCGCCGTGCCGCCACCCGACCCGCGCCGCGTCAAGTACTCCGTGCCGGCGCGAGCGGCACTCCAGCTGTACGTGGCAGCGCACGGCACGCTGCTGGGCGTGGCGCTGCTGGCCGGCCTGCGGCTGGCGACGCCGCCCACCGCCGCCCTGCTCATCGCCTCGGCCACGGCGTTCGCAGGCGCTGGTGAACGGCAGTCGGTATGGCCAGCCGCTCGAGGCCGCCCGCTGTCTGAGCGTGCTCCTCTGGCTGGCGGTGCGACCACTGGCTTCCGTCTGGCTCACTACCACCGGCATTGTTTTGTTTGGTGGGTCAGCAGTTCTGTGGCTTCGCATGCCCCCATGGTGTTTGGTACATGGATGGACTGGGGTCAGTCCCAAGGAAAAGGGCAAGTGTGGGCACTGAAGCTAAGTCTCAGAGAGTGCAGGGGATGCTTTCAAAGCCCATCCAGACATTGCCAAACAACAGAGTTTATAATCACTTTTCTGAATCAGATAGCAAACACCCTTGCAACATACAAAACAGGGTGTACATGGAAAATGTATTGTAACAATGTTGGATGGTTTGGTATATTACAGTTACTTTTGAGTAACAATACAAAATATGTGTCATGAAAGACCTTAATACTTTGTTTGCTGTATTTGGGCTGACAGGATGACATGGAACAGTAGGCAGACCCATAGAAATGACATAGTAAGCAAGCACACACATTTTCAGATAGGTGTGTTCTGCCTTTGTGTTCTGTGTTTGTGTTCTGCCTCTTACCAGTGGACATGGTTCTTCATGGGGATGTTGACTAGTTACCTTTGACACTGGGCAGAATTGAAACCATACACAATATATTTTTGTCATCTGTGCTCTGGCTTACAGACTTGGTCATTGTCACACCAATCTGACTGTAGCAATCACTCAATGAAATCACACAATGAAAGGTTATCACTAATGAATCATCTCACTGACAACAAAAAATGTTCTAATTTTGAATGTCTGCCTTTCCACTAGTTTGTCCTGTATTTCTCAATGGGTCCATGGATCTATCACATGATCTGCCATAGCATAACATTCAACCAGATGCCTGGGCAGGAGGAATGGGAGTGTTCTAAGTTGGGGGGGGGGGATGGTGCACTCAAATGTTTATTTCTTTGCAGTCAAGATGTATCCACTCGTCAGACCAACACTCAATTTTCAGGATATGGAACCACCACACCTTGTCCCCCAGTACCTGTGCCACTGTGCTTAGAGTACTTTTCTCATGTGATGCTTGAAATAACAACGTATTTTGTCGGAACCCCCAAGGTCATCTGATTCGCATGCTGATTAGAAACCTCATCGCTACGTTAATAAGCCATGTACACTTAGTTTGATCAAGTCTACAGAACAAGCCAACGGCACGTGCTCCTATTGAATACATCCCTGCAAGTTGGGCGGGTGAAATACCTTAATGTCGCAAATCAGACGACCACCCATGCGTAGTCGTCGTCAACCCACAATTCTGCACGCCGATGCATCAAAACGACGATGGTGCGTACGAAATGTATCGACAGCGGCAGAACACACGCTGGCTATTTGCAGCCATATTTGGTAAGCTATAGGGAGAATGAAGGTAAAGGGTGAAATTGCAGCTTTTCCCTGCGCACGATTTCTAAAATCTGAGATCTTAGGCTCATTTTTTTTAAATTACTTATTTGAAGGTTAAGAATATTTCAAAAGTCCATTATTTAAGGCTCATTTAAAGCGTTTGTGTTTAAAAATTTGTTCTTGATATTTTGTATCTACTACCAGGCTAACAAAGTACCCGATTTGGTACCCACCACAACTCTAGGCAGAATTGACGCAGGTGTGCGCGCCACGCGCATGGTGCCTTTACACCATTGCCTCGTGCATGCCACCTATCCGGAGCAACCACCTATCTCAATAACGTCCATTGGTGGGTGGGTGGCGTCACTGGTGCGGGGTTGCGATCGTTCGTATTGAAAACGAAAGGAGTACTTTTGTGACCGAAGGCTCGAAGTTGGCAAGACAAAAGCAGGAGCGTGGGAAGATTTTTGGACTCGACTTTCATAGTTCGTTGTCAAGTCAAGAATGTCGGGAAGAGAAGGTAAGATTTTGTTTAAAAAGTCGAGAAAGGTTAGGTTCATACGTACGAATGATTTGACACGTTGTTCAAAACACCCTATGCTCAGTCTATGCTAAGCCCTTGCAAGCAGCCGGGGGTAGATGTAGAGAGTGGGCTACATGTGTTGAGGAACTGTGCTATGAATTTTGCTGGTAGGCTTAACCATTTTTAATTGCGCAGGCCCACCAAATTATATATGGCACTACACTCTATGCGTATGTCCTGATGATGCTCTAGGAGCAATGTGTATGATACATCTCAAAGGGCTCAATGCACCAGAATGCTCAAATAGTAAGTGCATTGCTATGGCATGTAGGAGGTCCCTTAGTGGACCTAGCCCAGATATTTACCCATCGGACTGAGCTTGTGGCAATGAATGGCTCAATATAGGTACCTGGCCATGCTGAATAAAGGGTATGCAGCATCTGCTCACTGTGCATTTATTGGTCATGATTTTGGGGTGGAGATTTTGATGTGCTAAAAGTTTACTTTGTCATTAATTGCATGTAAAGCATTGATTCATAACCAGATTGACATTTTTAAAGTCTAAGCACCACTTATAGTTTGCAAGAGAACAAAATGACTTTTGACTTGTACATAATTAGGTATATAATACTAGCAAGTCATTTTAGTCAAGAAACAATATACAATGGGGGTAGAAAGATTTTGGTTGGTTTTTGCCTTTTCTGCACATTTCTTTTCAGATACTGTTATTTTGGATGTCCTTTTGCATCAGGAAATTGTTGTTATGGTGTGGCAGTGCCAAACTGCCAGCACAATATACCAGAGCATCAACCAATTTACACAATAAATTGTCTCATGGGGTGGCCAGTCTTGGTGCAGGCAATAAATAAACCTAGTATAATCCTTAGGACATGTCCAACCCTAGTCTGAGCTGGCATTTTATGATGTGCTGAAGCAATTATTTATGGATATATATCATGTGCATTTATAAATAATCCTGTGTTTCTGTTTTAGGTGGCAAGAAGAAGCCCCTGAAGGCTCCTAAAAAACAGGGCAAGGAGATGGATGAGGTGATAATTCTTCTGAGTTTTTTACTTCCCTGTTGTTGAGCTGCTTTTGCTATTGTATTTATTATTTAGTCCCACATGCCAACTTTGTGATGACATGTATAACCAAATTGTATATTTTTGTGGCATGTTAATTAAGCAATAATGTGTGATAGCTGTTTTGACTTCCACTGACATTTGAATTTATGACCACCTTTTGTCTGTCATAAAGCTAAGCTTCCTTTTACACCAGTAATAACTGATTCATCCTTATACATGGTGTCATTTGTGACATGAAGCATGGCTGTGCTTTATACCAATGGTTGTATTGTTTCAGTCTGATCTGGAATTCAAGAAAAAACAACAGGAGGAGCAAAAGAAAATGAAAGAGCTGCAGGCCAAGGCTGCTGGCAAAGGACCTCTGGGTATGCTAATGGGTGTAGGCTACCCTTAGACATCTTATAGTAGTGATTGCAACATGTATGGAGTGTGATTGCTCAAGGTTTGCATTACTATGCTAACTCTAAGGTGGATGCAGTATACACATGTGCCTGGAATTGGAAGGTATACATGCTTTTCAGTATCTAGGCCACATTTTCATCTCCTCTGATCTTAGCAATGAGCTAAAGCAGGAATATAGGTTTGCATTCAGCTTCACTGCCTGCCCTGCAGCAAGCCCTCCCAACTTGACAAAGGTTAACGGTCCTTACCTAGTGTCGGACACCATGCTCATAACAAGTCTGTACAAAAGAAGAAAAAATGGTTTATCTCTCCATCACCTGGTGGATCTTCTGAAGTTCCGAGCGTACGTCTTCCGAGTGTAGATATTCCGAGTGTAATTCTCCCATGCAGTGGGCTTGTGGGCAGTGGATATTCGGGGCTGATTCATATCTTGCAGGGTGAAGAGATCAGTGAGAAGAGCCGGTAACAAGCATGGCGACTGCCAGGTCATAAACCATTCTTTGCATTGATGAAGTACTGCAATCAGCACCGGGTTTATGTTTTGTAGACTATTGTTTAAACGTTTCTAAGAAAAACGTTTGGGGGGGGGGGCTAGTCACGTGCACACTGGCACCCCTGTCAAATCGAGACCAAGCCAGGCCGTAGCCGACTGGGTGGCAGAGGTGCCGTTGTCGCCAATCATACCGCAGTTGTAGCTCCGTTGCGCACAGTACTAGAAGTTATACTGGATTCTATGCATATACATGTAAACACACTGGCTTGCGCGCGAGCGTAGGCGTCACGCATGCAACATACATTTCTGAATTGTTCGCCTATCGGGATATTTTTCCACTTATTACATTTTGAGACACTTTTGGGGCAACTACACAGCTGCGCGCTTCGGGTTGTTTTACAAAAGTTTGTGGAGGTTTTGTCAGGCTTTGGTCAGGAAGGGGAAGAGCTTGAGTATCGGAGTATTGTCGATAGTTCAGAAGCGCTTCTTGCCATCATCACGGGTCCAGAATTTATCTTGTCTCTGTTCTCTGACATTAAACGTTTGTTGCCTCGGGTATAGTTCGGAATGTTAACCGCGACTGCCAGCGTCATCTGTTACTAGCGCTGAATGTCCTCCGACTGGCTTAATCAAATCCTGACCTGATCCAAAACCTGGTCGTTATCTGCCGTTGTCAGTCGGTGACAGATGTCGTTTCACCCGTGAACGCATTGGAGGTGTTTGGCTTTTTAGTTTTCTTCTCAGTCTTGCTGGTGTACACGCGAAGCCAGTATCGGCAGATAGTGATTATGACCAACCTTGTCCATACTGGTGTTAAAAGGCATATTTCACATTTGAAGACATTGAGGCAAGCGTCAGATATGGTGAAACGAGCTCACATGTAACTATTTGTATACTATTTAAGTGGAAAAGACTGCTGTAAACAGCACGATTCTCTTCCAAGTAAACACGCTTCTCGAAGCGTCATGGTTTGATTACGTCATCGTACCTTGGACATCACTGATTGAGTCAATTTACGGTCTTTATATCTGGAAATTGCGCTCAGAGGAGTCGCCCTCGAAAGTGGAAAAGACTGCTCCAGACAGCACAACTCATTGTTTAGTCGATATGATCCTCAATGTGACATGGTTTGATTACGTTATCGTACCTTGAACGACATTGATTGAGAGCTAATTGACGGCTGTTAGATCTGGAAATCGGGCTCACGAGCGCCAGGTGTGAAGGCCTCGACAATCTTTTTTCTTGGTCTTGATCGCATTGCTTATGGAAAGGCATGATTTGAATTACATTATTACGACGTTATAAATGCCAAGGTGATCTTGAAATACTCTCCGATGTACCGTTCCCCATTTTCGCGGGCGATTAGTTCAGAAACTAGAAGGGGCTAAGGTCTTAAGGAGGGCAGGATGGTGAACAGCGCTGAAAGGTTCTTTAAGGTGGCTGTTTCAGTTAAAAACTCCACATAAATGTGGAACACACTCTTCAGAGGGGCTGTTCCACATTTGGTCTGGTTTAAACGTGGAGAAGTATCTGTATGGCCATTCCCTACTATCCCCAGCCATATCCTTTTTCAGGCGTCTAATTCTCTTGTTGTGTAGGATGACAAGTGATTGTGCCCTCTATGATGTGCCACTTACGGGAAAGTCACCCAGACATGTACAGCATTTGGAAATGTGGGAGCAACCCATCTCATTCACTGTTAAACGCGCATGGCCAAGACAAATATGGCCGGTCTATGAATTTGTGTTTGCGAGGATGCGAAATCACGGTCCCAAAGACTTATAGCATTTGATTGGCTTCTAATCAAATTTCGCTGCTGGTTGTCTGCTTCGATCACAGGCCGCGTTTTTTTTGGGCAACTACTAGATGTGACGAATAGCACGCTATGAATCGAATAAGTTCAAAAATGGCGATGTAACCGGAACTGTAAGTGCAATTTTGGAGGATGTCATCGCGGAAACAGGCGAGAACAGCGTGAAAAAGCCAAGACATGCACATATGCTCGTTTATTTAATTCACCCACCTAAGTGGACAACGCCACCTTGCGACGCGTTGACGTATTACAAATCGGCCGGCAGCGACTCTGCAGCGATTTTAACGTTACGCAAACGTTCCATGACGTCGTCGGTATTGATGTTTTACAACACACTTTGTTTTTATGATGAGACTAGGTCGTTGCCAATGCACCACTGTTTGAAAGTAGTTCTTGAATGTGATGCTAGCTGCTGCGCTTAAGTTTGTTGCCAACAACTAACATGCAACATAACCCTTGTTTTTAGCGACCGGTGGCATCAAGAAATCGGGCAAAAAATGACGACGGCTGCCCACCAACGCTACCACCGACCCCACCGCGTGCCGAGGTCAGAGGGAGCACCAACAGCTCCTGCTGCGTGTCGCTGCTGATATTGAAGCTGTTCTGGATCGGCCAGACTTCGCCAGTTGGCTCAGCCGCGCAGATTCCTGCTTGAAGGCGACGTCCGTTCTGACGCTCCGTCTGTGAACGCTCTCAAATACACGATTCCATGATGTAACTCATGTTTCGACGCTTTAACGACTAGGCAGTGCCGGATGTGAAAGGCGACCGGAGGAGTGCTGAAGGTGATGGAAGTGACCCTAGATAACGTTTGTCTGGGTTATGAGAACATTGCTATTGTCTGCCTCGTTCGCGCAGCTCTTGACAGGAGACCACAGGCTGCACTGAGCGGTGTTCTTAACATCGGTTAGAAGGTATGGGCAGTTCCAACCGTTAATTTTTTTTGGGGGGGGGGGGTGGAAAGTCATGGAACGGCTTCAAAATATCCCCATAACACCATGATGCATGTATTATGTATTACGCACAGACATAGCGTATGCATGTATGTGTGAGGTTACTGAATGATTGTTTACGGTCAACAGCAAAGGTTCATTTACTTTCGGATTTATATACCTGAATTATGGCTAAATCCATGTTAGCTCTGCCAGAATGGGATTCGGATGAATTTCAGTTTTCAACAGCTGCCTTTAATCAGGTGCGGATTCAGATTCATTCGCTTGTGCTCGAATTTTTGTCGCAGACTGAACAGAAGTGAAGAAATGTGGACAGAAAACATTTACATTGGGGTTAGAAGCAATGATGTATGTGAACAGACTTCACGAAACAAAACAGCTGAAAGTCCACGCAATGCTGACATCTCTGACTTGGCTGGACCTCGTCAAAGGCTGTTCGCTCGAATTCTCGAATGTGGTCTGGGGCCGAGCCAGGTGCTGCGTCACTTAGCCTGGGTGTGCTCACACATTGTTTGCCGGCTCTCTTCGTCCCACGACCCGCCTGATGCAACTTTTAGTTAAAACGAGTGATTCACATGTGAACATAATGAAGCAAGCATCAGATGTGATGAAAGAAGCTCACTTACAAGTATTGGTACACCTTTAAGTGGAACAGGCTCTAAGCCACACATGTTGTTTCTAGTAAATATGCTCTTTCACGCGTCATGGTTTCATTGCCATGAAGCGTTTGTTGGACGGCACTCACATGTCGTTTTTCATTCTCCAGAGAGGTGGGTGTGTACTGGATGTGTGCTGAACCAGATATCGTTAGGTGCTCGTGTTCTGACCCTTTTTCATCGCGTTTTTGTATATGCATCCCTTAGTTTAAGATGCTTACTTTAGTCACATACTCTGTTACCACGCAGTGCTTATGTTATTCGATTTCAAGTCTTGCTCCCGTGAAAGCTAGGAAGGATGTGAAACTTCTTATATTATGTATCACAAAACGCAATCTGTGATAGTTCATGCGTCCCTTTTACCCCCATCTTGCTTCATCTTGCGTCCTCGTGACTCCGCCCGTTTGTTCGGGGCGGACTACATGCGTCAGCCACGAGTGGGCCGGGGCTGTAAACTGTGCTTAGTAGACGCTCTGAGCCCAAAAGTCACTCATGAAACCATCCAGAATAAAATAGCTGAAAGCAAAGTGATTCCAGCGGGCTTCAACCAGCGTTGGACATAACGGGTTACGGCCAAACTCGCAACTCGGTGATGGAGTTCCGGCTTAAGCCCGGCTTGTGAATGTCGTATGTTGAGTTGTATGAATGAACATAAGAATATTCCTCAATTACAAGATTATGACGTCATTGGTATCGGTGATCCGTGGTGATGTAGCCACAGTGCTGTTGGTACAGTCAACGGCTTGATGGCGCACCAGTGCTGCGTGTGGCTGGTGTTTATATCATTGCAGTCTGCGACCAATGGTGTTGATGTCAGTGCAGTCAGTAACCGGTTGTGTTGATGTCATTGGGGTCTGTGACCGGTTGTGTTGATCTCAGTGCAGGCTGTGACCTGTTGCGGTCATATCAGTGCAGTCGGTGACCGGTTGTGTTGATGTCAGTGCAGTCTGGTCGGTGATGTTGATGTCAGTGCAGTCTGTGACTGATGATATTGGCGTCAGTGTGGTCTATGACCGCTTGTGCAACATCGGTGCAAGTTGTGGCTATTGGTAATGGTGATGTCAGTTATCAGCGTAGTTGGTGAATTATGATAATGATGTCAATCATGAAGGTGGCAGTAGTGGTGTCGATCCACTTGGTGGGGATAATATCAGACCCCGTTGTCGTACACAGCCGATTTATTGATGCATGAGACAATACTCACTCCAGATATTTCGCAGGTGGCCTGACGGGCACCGGCAGGATACAAATTAGGGCACTTCGTCTGCAGTGCGGACTGGTGACAAGATGGCAGGAACATTTATGGCGAACGCCCAGACGCATCGCATTGCACGTTGTCACATTGGGTGCATAACCTCGCATGACGATCCCATGGGGTTTGGTAACGCTATGACCTCCTACACCAGCGGTGTCGTTGGTGGTCTGTCTCTTTTTCTGATGCCTTGACATCCTGCGTTGATAATTTAAGCGAGACCATAGAGACTAGGCAAATTGTTCGTTTCCCACTATACCTTGGTTACCCTGGTTTGGCTGCTTTGCGGAACGGAACGGTACTCTACCAGTTGATTTGTTTCTGATCCATCTACATTATATCAGTTGCAAAACCACTGGATGACTATCGATAAACTCTCAGGCGTATCTAACCTCAGGCGTATCCGTAGCAAATCTGTCTCAGGTCCAAAGCGTCACGCTCGCCGACACGCTATCCAAATAAATTACTACGAGACTGGCGGGTCTGAGGTGCTCACGCCAGACTGGCGGCTCCGCTGGATCTAACGATAACAGGCGATCCAGTGGGCGTGCCGGTCAGCACCACTCACACGCACACACACGCCGTCACACGGCGCCGCACGGCGTCACACAGCCGGCGCGTGCCGGCAGCTTCGGCCGGCGGCCGCCACGCGGCGCTGTCGTCGCCCGCGAGTCAACTAAGCTCGGGCCGCGAGCCGGTCACGAGACGACCGCCTCGTCGCCGTGGTCAGCCAGCGCGTCCAGAATGCTGCCCGTGTAGTCGGAGGCGGAGTCGATGGCGTTGAACAGCGAGAGCGGGCAGCTGGGATATGCCAGGTGGCACTGGCCGACCTCTCGTCCACGTCGCTCGGCCGCTAGCAGGCCGGCCACCTCCGCCGTATCGGCATCCTCCAGACGGTGCGACGGTCTGAGGCGGGGGAGCGTGTCAGCTTGCGGCCCGGGCGAGGCCGGTCAGGGCGAGGCGTCGCAAGCAAGGCGCCGGGGTGGCAGGAGCTGCAGTCGGGGCACCTCAGTATCGACTGGTAAGACAACTGCATCGGGAATACGCTGATAGATGGCATCACCACGCGTCTGAGCCTTTTTAACTTTAAGCGAAGACACTATTGGTTTCGACTGCATGATCATGGCTACAGACGTATGATTCCTGGCTTTAAACGTATGGCCAAACTCGCAAGATTCATCCCGACATGTCCGCTTTTCAATGCAGTTGCTGATGGCCGGGTTTAACGGCTTGTGGTGTGAACACTGCGTCGGTTTGCAAAAAACCCTGGCACCAGTGAAGGACTGCTTTGGTTCATATGAAATTACTGGATCGGCTTTTTCAGACACATGACCCAGTTTGAGTGCTGGGACTGCGCCACCGCCTCGGACTGCGTCGCTCCTGACCACTTACGAGAGGATCATGTTGAGGATGTCTCCGATCAGGCCGTCCCTCCTCAGGGGAGCCTCTGCCACCTCGCAGACGGCGCGCCGCAGGCAGGCCTCTCCGTCTGCGCCGAACCTGACGGCAGACAGCAGACGGCGGCTCACGGACGGCACGGCACAGCACGGCTCGGCGGCACACTACAGCGCACTGCTGGTCTGCCAGCGTCAGCACTGCAAGACGTGACACAGAAAAACCACGATCAAATACCGGGCAGACGTCGATAAACACAAAGGCCATAATGTGCTGGCGACGTGTCTGTGCCTCGTGAATAAATGATAAGGGTGGGCACGAGACTGAGACTCGCAGGCTTAGATGATATGAAGCTGCGCCGGTGCTTCATAGGACTGCGTGAGCCTTTATCGATGTTATAGAGTTACGGCTAGTAATGGCGGTTGACCAAACTGTGATAGCTTCTCAGCAGCGCTCACTTTGTTGACGATTTCAATTATCCATGTCACTTCTCGGAGCCGCCGATGTAAACAACCCGTCTCCATTCATTTACATTAGTTCTGCTTTGTGGACCTCTTCCCGAAACATAATCCCCTGTTCGTCATTTTCTATTGGTCTCCATCCACTCATCACACCGATAGTGGTCTGCTATTTCGTAGTGGTTACGTAACCACACGACTGAAAGGAAGACGGTGATGCTTGCGTCATGCCTGCTTTATGACACGAGTAATTGCGACCATTAATGTGCACAGCCACGTCCATTCAAACGGCGCTGCAGCTGAGAGGCCTTTGCAGCCTCTGCGGGCGTCTCTCATCACTTATATAGATATAGTCTGGGGTTGCATGGCGCCTAATGAAATGTGGTTGAAGAGTGTTTGACATTGGTGGTTGTTAGGCAATGGACATATTACGACTGCACAAGTGAAACTTGTAATGCCAATGCTGTTTGGTTCTCTCAAACAGCGCAGAAGTGGCAAAAATTTGATGCGGAAAAGACTCAACCCCGGTATGTCATACTTTGCGTGTCGCCAATCGCGGATTACGGTGCGACTAAATAGTGCAATCACACCAAGCCTTCACTGGTTTACAACCCTGATTCGATTGCGGCGTGAATAATGATGTAGTTCATCCGTTTCATCATCGTGTGTCATGTCATCATCACATCATGTGTCATGACATCACCCATCATGTGTCATGTCACCATCGCATCATGTGCCATGTCATCATCGCATCATGTGCCAGTCCATCAACACATCATGTGTCATGTCATCATCGCATCATGTGTCATGCCATCATCGCATCATGTGTCATGTCACCATCGCATCATGTGTCATGTCATCATCACACCACGAGTCATGTCATTACATCATGCGTCATGCCATCTTCAAATAATGTGTCCATGTCATCATCGTATCATGTGTCATGTCATCAGCACGTCATGTGTCATGCCATCATCACATCATATGTCATGTCATCACCCATCATGTGTCATGTCACCATCGCATCATGTGTCATGCCATCATCCATCATATGCCATGCCACCATCGTATCGCGTGTCATGTCATCAACACATCATGTGTCATGTCATCGTCGCATCATGTGTCATGCCATCATCGCATCATGTGTCATGTCACCATCGCATCATGTGTCATGTCATCATCGCATCATGTGTCATGTCATCAACACAGCCAGATGCTGGTGTTAGCGCATTAGTGGTTGGTCGCGTCAGTTGGTCGGTTCATACCGCCACATCCGTCGCAGAATACGCGCCTAATGCCACTGAGCGGCTACTGCAATGGCCATTGGTGATAAAGCTCAAAATAAATATAAACCAAGTTAACCGCAAAACACTGCATTAGACCATCAGAAACAGAGTTGCTGGACATTGTAACTGTATAGATAAGTCACGTGAATCTCACAGCTCATACAATATGCATTTGTCAGCCCAAAGCCCATATGGAGCTGAAACCTTACCTTTAAAGTAATGAAGACGGTAACAAAGGACATACCTGGACACAGTGGACTTAAACGTGTTGTAGATGACTTGCTTGTCCATCAGCGTCTTGGACGACGAGAGTGACCTACCGCCGGCATCCACTAGGTTGGCCGGTGGCGTGTACATAATGTCTGTCTTGACCAGTATGCGCAGACCTGGCGATGAATCGGCATCAGTTACGGGTGCACGCGTTCCCACCGCCATGGTTGACGGTATTCGCATGCTTGATCACATTTTGAACGGTTCTCACTGATGGCTGTACGCAAAGAACGCATGAAAAGCAGAGGCATGGAAGGCGGCACTAAAAGCCCACCAAAAAAGTTTGCAACTATGTTTTAGGGATTAATTCTGCTGTCATTGCCGGTTAAAACACGGCTGGGGTTGAAAACTGACCATCAGACTTGTTACGAGTTCTTGATATTACGGGGACGTAATACCGAGTGGTTGACGCGTCGGACTCCCACGTGGGGGACTGGGCTCAAATCATGGTTGCGCCATGGCCCTTGAGCGCTAATATGGCCAATGCAGACGCTGACGCTCCATAACACGGACGTGACGACGTGCGTCACGTTCCCTTAAAAAGGGATCTTGATACCTCGATACACGCGTGGTTGGATTCGAACATAATGTCGTTGGATAGCGGAGCCTGGCAGCCGTCTGGCATACCGCGGCAGTGGTCACCTTGAATCCTGCCGCGGCGCAGATTCGTTCGCCGCCGCGGAGAAGACCGCCTTATCTCTCAGCACCAGATGGCGGTGCAACTTCCACGAACAGTGTTATGTCCACCGAATTCATATTCCGGCGTGGTCGCACAAATTTGCTCCTCCCAAAGGAGCAAGGACGGACGGACACAGGACGGTGTATTCACACACGCGCTCGCCAACATTTAGTATCGCCCATCGCGACACATCCGTGCAGTTTTTCCTTGCACATACGCGCAACAACTCGCAGTCACCAATCAAGAGCTGACGAGTTCGGTGTCTCACTTAACTTGATTACTTTCCCACTCGGTGTTTGCGTGCGTGTAAAAGTAGCGGTGAGGAGATAATAATTTGTGCGTGTAGCCCGGGGTGACGCGATCCTGGTGTCCCGCGCTCACGTACCGGTGTAAATAAGCTCACGTTCATGTGCAAGCACCCGTTTCTTTACCGTTTCTTACAAACTTTTGGGATCAGCGGCAACATGGCGTAGGGGGCACGCACATCTGTTCACATAACTCGTTCCTGCACCTCCTGCAGCTGACTTAATGCACATCAGTTAAAAAAGTGATTGAGTCAAAGGATATTTTATGTCCGATGGTGATGTCTGCAAGTATATTTACCAGGCTTGGCCCAGGTCCGGACCATCAAGCTTGGCGCTCGTGGGCACCGAGCTGATAAAGCTCTATAAAGCACGTCGATCATTGTCCTATCTTCATAGTAGGATTACTTCTACGACTCACTATCTCTATCGTGCATCACACACACTCCATTCGCGCTAAATTCATCTCTTTCGGCTGATTTGCTAGAAAAGCCCTGTTGAACCCAAGCAAGCATTAACTTGTACAAGATATGAAGGCAAAATTTTCCTCAGCCTGTTTGACAATTATTGCTCAGGGGTACGTGATTTGCAAAGCAGATGAATGTGTAGCCTCCCAAATTAAAAGTATCACCCCCTTCCCCGAAAAGATATGACACCCCACGCGATAACCAGCATCCAGCCGGTAGCAACGCCCTGAACCCATTGCGTGTGTGCCCCCTGCTGAGAGGCAGGACACGCGAGCTGCTCACTGGGCCACAGGGAGGACGGTGTCTGGCGCCGTCCTCCTGACGGCGGGCGGTGTGAGGACGGCGCTCCGGGAGGAGTGAGGCACAGATAACCCTGAGGAAATCAAAGACGTAACTTGCGCATCTAAATCCCACTTAAGGCAAGACAAATTTTGGACTTTGCAACTCAGCCTCTCGTTCTCAACCCAGGCTGCGCGAACCATAATTGTTGGTTTGGTGCGTGCGGAAACATGCGTCTAGTCTTCGGAACTCAGTCACGAGTTTGAGCCCAGGGATCGATCCAGAGGGGGAGGGAGTGCGGGAACTCCTTTCGGCCCCGAAGGGGCCCATGAGCTCTGAAGGTGCTCATAGTCGGCGGAGCAGACGCCGTTCTTAATCACAAAATGCTACAAAATGGACGTGTTTAGGCTTCCAGGCAATCAATAACAGTCCCAAGTGAAGGTGGAGGGCCCACGAATAGACAACAAAAATTGACTTATTGAGAGGATGCTGATTGGGAGATTACAAAACTCATTACACTGTCTAGAAGCCCTACGCTGTTTCCGGAGGCCCTATATATCCACTTGTGAGGGGAATCCGATTGTTAAGAAACCTTTTAGGTTGGCCTTGTTTTTGTATGCATTGCTTGAAAGGCCACGCGCTGCTGCTGGGGCAATCTTCTTAATAAGAAGACCTTCTACGGATTCTTCTTACACGCCCGAAAGGCTCTATACACTACAGCCGGGTGGCCCACATGTTAACCTGCCAGGACATTCTCGGCTGCTCACGGCCCCTTCACGCTGGTCTCATGGGCGACACGCTCGCAATATGCTCGTCCGGGGCCATCCCAATTCTGTCTCGAGTACTTCCTACTTGAGTGATGGGTTCTACGCACTTGTCGGGGGCCCTATCTGTTAACCTGCTCGGGCACGCTGCATTGTTCGGGGGGCCCTGCACATTGGGTCTTGACATTCGAATGCATGGCCCTACGCTTCTGTCGGGGGCCATCTGGTAGACCGCCTGGGTGTACTCGATCTTTCGGGGGCCCTCCAACCGGGGTCGTGGATGCTTGTTCGTGTCTCTTTACGTCACGCAAATGCCGTGACCTCAATGGTCGTGCACTACCCAAGGTAACAAACATGATCACTGAACATTCGTGTCTGACTTATGTTAGCACGACACTTGGCGTCAGCGGACAGCATCTGGCCCTCAGCCAGTTTAATGTGTTGAGTGCAAGCTTCGAATACGATTCACGGTTTGTGCTACATAGCACAGTAGATTGGGCAATGTTACAAGTTATGAAGAAAATGAGACTGGGGATCGAATAGCTGAAGAATAGCGCTGTGCCCGAGTCAGTGAATGCAAGTGAAACTTACAAAATCATGTGCAAATGTACAAGAACGCCACGAGAAAAGGTAGGCACATACACAACACACACACACACAGGATATCCGGATTCAGCGAACACACACCAGTTAACAAGCCACCTTTCGGCAGGTTGAAGCACTACAAATGAGTCCACACATCCGCCATGGTGGCAAATTTGGCATGACCAGTCTGGCAACGACTTAAACGTTATACAAACGTTCCATGACGTAATGAAACGATGACGTATTGAAGAGTGCATTTATTTAACAGTGAAATTGTATTAGCTTGGGCAGTCTCTTGCATGTAAAAGCGTGCCAATAATTGCACGTGAGCTTACTTCAGCATAATTCATGATTGCCTCCATACCTTCACATGTGGGACATCCTCTTAAACTGCTCATATTTCGCACACACAGCGTTAAATAATATTTGTGAAGACGCATCTGTTTGAGAAAAAAATAGTTTGTTGGTTTTGAACCAAAATCATGCTTGAAAGCATGTTTTGCTTAAAACCAACAAACCAAAATTTTTCAAACAGATGCGTCTACACAAATACGATTTACCTTTGCACGGCATATCTGGCCGAAAGTCACTCATAAAACCTGTGTCGCTTGAAAATTAACGATAACAACTTTTTAAAGTTTTACAACTTTTTAAGAGGAAAGTAAAGCTCAGCTGGGCGAAAAGTCGTATTACACTCGTAAGGCGTTGCACAAAACTCGTAAGGTTTGAGCCTGGCTATCGGTCAAGGCTTTCATCGCCACCGCGGAATTCGCCGCGAGAGATTTTAATGCCAAACGACCCGAGCTGTTGGATGTAAGGCAACGAGACCTTTGCTGGCCTGGCTAGGATAAGCTTGGCCAGCCAACGTCCGGGGTGCTTTGCGAGTATCAACAGCCCGTACTTACGCCCCATGTGTTCGTTGTCGTACAAGTTGAAGGCCACCTTGGGTTCAACGGCAAGCAAGAAGCCATTGGGCAGCAGCAGCTCCCGCTCGTGCTTCGACAAACAGCGTCCCGCCTTGTTCTTCTTCTTGCACTCGACGCTCTTGCCCTTCATCTTCTCATTGGAGTTCTCGGGCTTGGCGGGATTGCCCGCGCGCTGGTACGGCGAGTCCTCCCAGTAGCCGTGCTCATATCCGCGCTGCTGGTGGGCCGACTGCTGCTCGTAGCTGTTGAACGCTGTATGCCCTCGACGCTCGCTCGCCACCGGCTGCCCCCGGTCGGGCTCCCAGCGCTGGGTGTGGGGGTCGTACCGCCAGCTTACGACGCCGGCGGCCAGCAGCAGCAGCAGACAGGCGACAGGAGCACCGCCGGCGGCCATCGCACCCCTCGTCATGTCAGCACCAGAGGTATTCTCTCACGGTGTAAGCTCGGAGCCCCGCCGCCGATACGTGTCGGGCGCAGTGGGCGTTCGAACTGGCCGCCAGCCGTGGTCTGCCGCCCGGCAGCGGGTCGTCTGGCGTCTGGCAGAGCGGTCCGGGCGCCGCGCCGGTGGAAAGCTGAGTGTGCCGGCAGCTCCGGCGGCCGGCGGGCGCGGCGATCGACTGGCCGCCCGTCGGGGATACAGCCGACACCTGGGCGCTCGCGGCGCTGGAGGCCCCGTGACCGGCCGGCGATCGCATCTCAGCAGGGCTCGCTAGCTGTCGACACGGCTGCAATGTGACCTGTGTGCCGCGTTACCCGGCGCCGGCGGAGAGAGCGTGACCTGGTTACATAGGCCGGCCGACCGGCGGATCATTCGGAGCACTGCCGGCGGGGGTGTATCCCGCCCCACGCCCTTGCGAAACGCGACTTCAGAGAAGAACGCAACATATAGCACCGTCCTCACTGGCGGGGACTGTGTGTGCAGATACGGCGCACACGGCTGTGAAGTCGCGCTGCTGCGCCAGGTCGGCCTCGCGGACGTCAAGTGCTGAGACGTGACGTGGTGGCATACAAAGATGAGCGGATAGGCTGCACTGGTGTCGCCTCCAGGACCAGGCCAGACGAACATGGCTGCAAGATGTCCGGCTGCAAGCTGATGAAACATTCAATACATACGACTGCAATTAGTCAGCTACTCCGGGAAAAATACCTGCCGAGCACCACTTTCCTGCTTAAGGACGCCGCAGGCTCAGCGACCTACCACCGGGGGGACGCAGTGTGGTAGTCCTCCCTATTGCGATGAGGGGACTGCCGTGTCCCGACAATGCATTTTCGAGATGGCATCGGGCGTTAAGTTCCGCTAGCCCGCTATCTAGAATTATGGCTTTATGACGTTATCTCCTAGAAGTATGGAACCTTGCCAAACAAGCAGACGTCATTAACCACAGCCAGCAGTTAATGTATTCTAGCTATGAGTGTTGTTTAATGCCAGTGCCAGGCCATCGGGCCGCATAAGCTGTTACCAACCAGGTGCATCGGCCGTAGTTAACTACTGGGCGCAGCAGCCGGCCGCGATACGTCGCGATTCAGCTACTTGTCAACGCAGATAATTGCAAACATGTCTAGCAGGTTGGTGTGTGCAAACATACGAGTGGCTCTTTGAACACCGAGGGACTCTTCAAGTCAGCAGTCAGTCTGGTTCTGAAACTAATGCTGATATCACAAGACCATTTAGTTAACCAACCATATTAACCACACCTAACCAATAATTACCAATCATCCATAGGATAGAGAAATTATTGTTCCGCGTGAGTAAGCTCCTGAAATATGAAACAAAGATGATGTAAACCAAATTAACGAAAATAAACAACATCAAAACGGGGCTGAAATGAAGAGAACAGAACGGAGGTGAGAGTGGCAAGATTTGCATCATGTTCCAGTAGCACCAGGAATATCTACTCTAAGCCTATGCGCCGGATCGCAATCTTGAGTCACTCAGCTGACGCACAGCGACGCCCTCTATCGTCTGCGTAGTTCCGGCCGCTGCATGTGCCTTCGCGCCTTGGGATGAGCACAACAAAGGCCCATATCTTTTTGCATATCCCTCTAGACTGTTGTGATCGACGGACATTTGTTCAAGTTCTCACAGTGAATGTAACCAGACTAGTCGGAATGCTTTGCTGCAAAACATGTTGCGTCTGCTTGCCAGGCATTTCCTAGCGGTGCGAACAGAGGCGCAGTCAAAATCTTGGTAAGAGGGGGGCACAGGATTGACAAGCCTTCATAGAACAAAATCACCGGATATGGCTCACTTGATTTCGAGGGGCACTTTTTCTCTTTCTTCTTTTTATCTTCAGATACAATTTTGTTGTTGTTTTGAAATACAAAAAGTGAAGGAAAAGGGCCTTAAATAACTGCGTAAGATAAAAGTCGCCCGCGCTGTCCACTTTAAAATAATTCGGTGGAATTTTCCTTCACCGACAAAACCCAGAGACTTTGCCAGAATTTTTCTTGCGTAGCTCTATAGAGAAATAGAGGGCTCCGTAAACGTAGATTGTGTATATAAATAGAGTCAAAATTGGTATTAGCTTAGCTAGCCCATATTCGTCTAACTTGTTTCCAGAATCGATCAATAACAAAAATTATGTGACACAGTTTTTAACATCCGCGCATGCGTCTTGAAGCAAAACGCACGGCGCTGGATGGACACAGAACGCCCGACGTTGCAGTCTCCATGGGCCTCACAGCGTCAGCCACGCGGCTAACACTGGGTAGTGGCCAACGGACGGACAATAATGATGGCTCTTCTGAAGCGTTAAGAAAGCAATCCGGAAGTGCATGTCACCCGTGTGATTTTATATCGATATTAGCGGACAAGCATTTACAGCGCCGCGAATTGGTGCTGGAAACTGGTCGTGAAACTTGAAGAGTGATGGTAGAAATTTTTCATATTCCTGTTGCTGTGCCCATTATTCTGTTCGCAGTGTGTCTTAAAGTCATACAGGCTAAATGAGCGCCCAGCCTAATCAAGAAAAGGTAAAAAACTAATTTTGACAGACTTTCGAGAGCATTATTTCCGACGGTGGTTTTCGCTCGTCCGTCGCTCGCCGCCTGGCGTTACCTGCAGCGGTCGACGCTGTTCGGTTTACGGAAACTGCAATTTCGGCCATCGCTGTTTTTGCTCCTAAGACCACGGTTTCGTGGGCTAAAAACCTTGTGTGAAATTTGATTCATTAGTCAATGATGCAAAACGATGGACGCTCCTATGCAAACATGGGTTGGCCTTTTTTAATTTTTTTATTTTTTGCCTCAATTCGATCGACTCTATTAAACGTCCAGGCTATTCCATCCTGTTAAACTCTATTACATTCCCTCTATACACTTGTGTAGACAATGGGCCGCATTTCGTTCACGGTCATCGGCTGAAAGGTCATTTCTTTCCAGTGCGAGGTGTCTGCCGACTGTCATTCTGGTGACATGGGAGCGGGGTTCCCATTGTCGATCCGGAGGCCCTTAGAGGGATATGTTATGCATAGGTCCTAGGCGCCCATCGGGCCTTAAGGGCTAGCCAGACAAAAAGTCAAAAGCGAAGAAGTCAAAGGACAAAAAGCCAAAATCAGTTAAAATCAAATGGCAAAATAAAAGTAAAATGCCAAAAACACAAAAATGCAAAAAGTCAAAAGGGCAAAAAGTCAAATGACAAAAAGCCAAAAAATAAAAGTCAAACCCAAAATGTCAAAAGGAATAAAAGGTCAACGGCAAAAATTCAAAAGCACAACAGGCCAAACAGCAAAAAGTCAGGTGCTTAAAAGCTGAACGATAAAAGTGAGCCGTAAAAAGTAAAAAAGGGTCCAGGCCTGTGCATCTCATTTACGTTCACGTTGGGCTTCCTTTAAATGTCAGCATGGCCCCTTGCACGCCTGCAGGGACCCTTCTGTCGTGGGTATAGTGAGTGACGGCGTAGCAGGGAGGGAACAACGAGACACCAACCATCCCCATATTTCAGTTAGCAGATCCAAGTTCGTGTTTCCGACCCTTTCTGCAATAAGTCGCGCATTTGACTGAGGCTTCTACATTAAATGTGTCTACTGACATAGTCCACGAAAAACTATGTACCTCTTCCCATCTCAATACCTGTTTATACAATTATTAAAACCCTATCACTTTATCGGACAGCTTGATTAAACCAGCCGGCCACTTTTAACATGTACCTGTCGCTTTTCACGACTTAAACCTATTCAATCACAAAGGTGGCTGCTAACAAGCGACAAGGTCCGTTTGCAAATATTAGTAAGCGCCTGACGTGTAATTTTTCACTTTCATTGGTCTTAGTAATCCGACAAATAGAATTAATTACCTGTGTCTACCTTAGACTCGAAATGACTGAGGAGCGTGACATACACTTTGTCCAAATTAGGAAAGTATGGCACTTTTCTGAGGGTTAGGAACGGAGGATGGTGATAACGTTATAGTGCGGGTTTTCTTGCCTTCTTTCCATCAAAGCTCAAAATACCCATTAAATGGCCTCGCCCAGGAGGATTCTCTGCCAGGAGGCCCCATTTTGTCTGGAGTTCCCGAGACCACATGGAAAGTTCTTCCGTAGCTCAAAATCCGTGGCATCGGTCGTCTGAGAGCAATGCTCTTTTAGGGCCATGGTCTTCTATGCTTAAAGGGATCTAAAGCAGGTAAGCTAAAAGTCATCACATCCCGAAAAACCCTCATGAGTTAAGACCCTTTACCATCGGGTGTGGGTTTCTATTCAGTTGCTGCAAGACATTATATCGCGAAAATCATCCCGTGTTAAGACGCTTACCCATGGGCGTCATTTCCTTTTCAGTGGAAAAAGGGGTTTCAGCCCCCCCCCCCTCACTTGGGTTTTAGTTTCCCAAAATTTTGAATATAAAGTGGGCCGTATCTGAGGGGAAACCTCAAGGCATATTTTGGGGTAAGTCGGGTCATTTTTCACTGTTCAGCCCCCCTCCCCCCCCAACCAGTTTGAGAAATCACTCTCCTGCACTTCCATCACGCGGGAGGGCCTTTTTATCCAAAGCTGGGGCGCGGCCTATGCTACTTTCGCGGAGTTATAGAATCGATAAATGACTTATTCCAACTGGCTGAGCGCGGCGGACTCTTCAAACCCTGCCCCCTCCCCCTTAGCATTCCCCGCGAACGACTGAACAGAGGCTCACGGTGTGTTTTGGAGCCCTGTTAAATTCAGGGAAGTGATTAGCCTGCCTGATGAGATAGCCTGTTCTGCCGTTATCAATTTTGCACTCAACCCTTTTGAATCTTTGTTAACGGACTTTTGATTTTGACTTTTATATTTTTTACTTTTATTTATTTGACTTCTGTTTGCTTGGTTTTGTCTTTTGACTTTTATGTTTTTGACTTTTATCACCTTTGACTTTTGTCTGTTTGACTTACTGCATTTGACTTTTATCCTTTTGACTTTTTGCCATTTAACTTTTTGTCCTTTCGACTTTTTGGCTTTTTGCCATCTTGCATCTTAT